TGGTCTCCATCATTGATTTTTTTTTGGTTTTTGTTTGTTTGTTCTGTGTAGGTGTTCGCATCGGTGAGCAGTTGGACAAGCGCTACAATGTATATGGCTATACTGGCCAAGGCGTGTTCAGCAACGTGATTAGGGCGCGAGATTCAGCACGGACGCAGCAAGATGTGGCCATCAAAATCATCAGGAACAACGAACTCATGTATGTTCATCAACACAAGCTACCCTAGATCTGTTCAAAGAGAAGATACCAAGAATTGTCTGGTATCTCTCTGTGTAGCGTTTAAGTTCAGAGACAAGAATCTTGGAAGACGACCAAGACGAATATCCTGAAGGCATACCCAACGAGTCTTTATAACCCTGATTGTTTTACCCGGTCCCCAGGCACAAGACGGGTCTGAAAGAGTTGGAGTACTTGAAGAGACTCAACGATACAGACAGGGAAGACAAGTTCCACTGTGTTCGTCTCTTCAGACATTTCTTCCATCGCAACCATCTCTGTCTCGTCTTTGAGCCCCTCAGGTACAGCGATTGCTTTTGATTTTTTTTTTTTTTCAATTTGACGATGCCCATCCTGCTTCCCCTTTTTTTTGCTCCAATTCCTCAGCATCATCCCTCTTGGAATCCTGTCCCTGCCACATTTAAAATGCAGTTGAAGAAGCAATGTATCATATGATCAGGAAAGTTCTCATGTCGCAAATTTTACGGAAAATGTGCATAAACATTTTTTCCCCCCCCCCAACTGATTTCTGCTTTTTCGGGTTGTGTTTGCATTTGTCTTTTTTCCCTACAGTTAGAGGAGGGTTGCTTTTATACCTACTCCGGTAGGACCTGTTTTGGTTGCTAAGGAAGACCAGAACTCTGTTATTCAACTGTTGTGGACATAATTTTGTCTGGGCAATGCTGACCTGCGGTACAGTTATTTGAAAATCTGGGTGTTTAATTATTGACATTGGTCTTGTTTTCTGGGACATATTCACTTTTTTTTAATTTTCCCTTGACTTCCCTTGATTGATTATCAAAATGTAGAAATGAACAATAATACAAATGTAGAATTGTACAGTTGTACAAATGGAGACTTGAATTGTCGTCATCTTTTCTGTCTGCAGTATGAACCTACGTGAAGTGTTGAGACGTTATGGTAAAGACCATGGCCTCAACATCAAAGCTGTGCATTCCTATACCTGTCAGCTCTTTATGGCCCTGAAACTCTTGAAGCGGTGCAGCATACTCCACGCCGACATCAAACCAGACAACATCTTGGTGAGTCACTCCGTCCACGCTCTGTGCAGAAGTCCACAGCTCACTGCTTGGTTTAGCGGACTTGGGTTTATATTCATAGCCGGGCTGCCCAAAATCAGACAACAGAGCTGGGCCTTGTAACAAAAGACTGTATTCAGAACAAAAGATTGAGCTTCTGTGAATTGCCAACATTTTTTCAGTTGTCAATAGCAGAGGAAATCTGTCATTGTTTTGAATGATAATACCAGTTACCACTGTTTATGGCATTCAGCGCAAGTGGATTACCACCGGGACATAAGCGCTCCAGGGATGAGTGATACAGTACCGCTGCACGCTAATCTGGTCAGCATATGAAAAGACGCCAGCGGTGCACTGGGCCAGTTTTGGGAACAAAAGAAAATTACATAACACCACACAATTTGGGCTCTCTTTACAAGGAAGCAGGCCTGGCTGAAATACTCGGGCATCAATTGATGTTGTTTGTCAGATTAGAGTAGCCACCAGACAGTCATTCGTGTGGGTGTAAAAGTCCAGTAAATGAAGTTATGAATTTTTGAAGAATTTTGAAAACAGAAAACCCCCGGGGTATATGTCATGCAACTTCAAATTAAACCCGGCAGCATATGGTTAACAGTGTTGTAGTTGAGACCATCGCAAAACCAGGCAGAAGACCAGACACAAGACCAGTCACAAGACCAGACACAAGACCATGCACAACACCAGTCACAAGCAACAGGGTGAACCATGACAAAGGAATGCTTGTGACTTGAATTCAGACTGGAGGTCTTGTGTTGGTCTTGTGTGGTCTTGTGAAGGTCTTAAGTGGTCCCGACTACAACGCTGATATTTAAATCCATGTATCTTAATCACTGCCGTTGAAAAATGTTGTTGATCAAGCTAATTCCATGCTGCTAGACACGGAGCTTTTTGTTCAGTTCAACTTATCAGTCAAATAATTGCAATTAGTCCTCTAAAATAAAAAGAAATTGTGCTTTGTGAACATCTCCCCATAGCATCGATTTAATAATGCGAATTGTTGGCAATCAGGAAGATGATGTAGAGCTTTTGTGAAGGCTGGAAAGGAAGTGCAAAGGTTGTATATTTTCTTGATGAGTCTCTTGGCGGCAGGGTTGTTTTGTTCCAATTCCAATTCTTCACTGCAGCTGATAGTAACACATGTCGGTAAGGAGTGGCTGTTGGTTTGAGACACTGGCTTTGATGGGTCATCTCCAGAAGAAGTGTTGACAGGCCTAGTTTCCTCATTAGACAAAAAACCCATTCAGTTGTGAACATAAATGCCCTTGGCATTTCTCTCCGCTCGTTATATACATCCAGGTGAATGAATCCAAGGCCATTCTCAAGCTGTGCGATTTTGGCTCGGCATGCCACGTAGGTGAGGCGGACATCACTCCGTACTTGGTCAGCCGCTTCTACCGGGCGCCAGAAATAAGTAAGTCATTTCAGAGGTCTCTCCCAAAGCCTGGCTCCGTCTGTGGTTGCAGTCTTCAGGCTTCTGCTGCGTGAGTTTAGTCTCTCAAGCTTAGCCCCCGTTAGCTCCCTGAAGTTTCCATTGTCAACCATGCAAGCATCTGATTGTCTAAAATTACACCAGAGTTTATTTAAGGGGGTGGGGTTCAACAACGAATGTGGGGAAATTTCTCTGGAATTTTACAACGCCAACAGTGCACCTTAAGGTGTCACTCTCTGCCCATATTAACGCAACCTCTCCCATCTTTGTCATTTTCCTGCCTGTGCTCCTGTCATAATTTCATTTGCCATGTTGAAAACTTGTCTTCACAATTCCTTTTCTATTTGATCTTTGTTTTACTGCCCTGCCTTTCCTTTCATCCAATCTGTTCCTGCTTTTGTTATCGATCCTCTCTTCTTCCCTCTATTGTTGGTCCCTGTTTCCATGCAATGCGTCGTTTTAAACTGTTCAAATCTTTTTTGTTGTCCCACCCATTCCCTTCTGTATAATGTCTCTTTGCATTCCTTGTGAAAAACTTTAATATGATTTCATTATCCATTCCCCCCCCCCGCTTTTTCCTCACACAATTGTTTTTTCCTCACACAATAATGACTTCTTTCTTCTTAATAACCCATTGTTAACTTACCCCCCATCCTCCAATTCCACTGTTTTACAACTGTGTGCTTTCCCTTGATTTCTCCTCTAAACCACGACCAACTCATGCTTCCTTCCCAAATTCCACTCGCAAAATACCCCTTAAAATATCTTGCGCCCACTCTCTCTTGAACTGCACTTTTCCGTTATTGCCGACTGCTCCGCGTCGTCCTCCTCCCGTCATTGCCTCTTGTCTTGTCCTCACTGTCCCTCCCCCTCCCCCTCCCCGTCTGAAACCCTCCTCGCCTCCTTCCCGCAGTCATCGGTATGACCTACGACTACGCCATTGATCTCTGGAGCACGGCCTGTACCATCTTCGAGCTGTACACGGACAAGATCCTGTTCCCCGGCAAGTCCAACAACCAGATGCTGAAGCTGATGATGGACCTGAAGGGCAGGATGCCCAACAAGATGATCAAGAAGGGGATGCTGAAGGACGGCCACTTTGACGGCAGCTTCAACTTCAAGTACATTGAGGTGGACAAAGTCACCGAGAGGGTGAGTTCTTCTGTTGCCAGTGTCTAGGATCAAAGGACGCATGCCACTGCAGTGTTGAAAAAAAACCGTAAATTGATGTCAGATGTCATGACCCCATAGAGGTTCTGCATGGCAGCCATCTCTCTTGGAACTGCTTTTGTCGCGGAGGGATAGTACAAAATGGTCTACTCAGCTGTATTCCTGTTGAACAAAAGCTCTTACCGGAAAAATGGCTGCCATGCAGAACCTCTGTATAGTCATAGCGTGCCACAGCCTTGGTGACATCTAGTTTAATAGTGGGTGAATGCACTGCGTGGGATTTGCATGAAGTGGTACGCCTAAAGCAGCAGTCATTTTTAAGTTCTTTTGGTATGGATTTTGGAAGAACCACCTGTGCTGTTTGTGGAGAAGATTCTAAATGTTGCGCAGTGGGTGTAGCTGATGGTTAAAAAGAAAACTGGCCTGGCTCTGTTGAAGTCTGCAGATTATAAATAGATGACTGCACCATATCAAAGGAAGTCCAAAATCCCTGAATTTTGGAACTGGAAGACCCCAAATTTCAATATAACTTTAAAGGGTTGTAGAGGTGGTTCCAATTTGTTACGGCCCACATTGGATGCCCAAGAATTACATTAAACTTTGATAAGGGTGCCGTGATGTTGAGAGGTATCAAAGCTTACTTATCAAAAACCCTTGAAAATTGGACACTTTCCAGGTGTGTCAGAGTTTTCCAAATGTAGGACCTGGAATCACACATGATGTAAATGCTGTGCAAAACTGATGGGTGATTGGGAACCTTAACTGTAACCACCCAGGGCCAGAAACCCTGCCAGATGAATCATTTGGCCTCAGTTGTCAAAGGTGACTCTCCCACAGAGTGCAACAAGTTCTCAGATCCAGTAGGTCAACTCTCCCAATGGCCAAATGGCCTGGAAGTCTGTGGTTGGCCGCCAACACTGGATCAAGTTGTACCATTGCTCAATGGGACTAGCTGCCCTTGTCTCAGCATGGGCAGTTTGTTCGGCTGCTGTTGATTTTCCAGTGCAGCAGAATGCACCAGACCTTTACACCCGCAGGACTTTGGACAGTGTGAGGGTCAAAGTATTCCATGGAAGGCCTGGAGTGGATCAAAGGAGTCTTTTAACTAAACCTCCCTGTCCAAAATGAACCTCCCCAATCCCCATCTCCTCTCATCCGCAGGAGAAGGTGACCACCTACAGCGCGATCAACCCAGGCCGGGACCTGATGGGGGACCTGGTGGGGGTGGGCCGGCCCGACCGCAAGCTGACCCAGCTCAAGGACCTGCTGGAGAAGTGTCTGACGCTGGACCCCAGCAAGCGCATCCAGATCAAGGAGGCCCTGCACCACCCCTTCATCCAGGAAAAGATATGATGGGGGCCCGGAAAAGAGCAGGCATACGAGTGCCGGAACAGTAACCAAGACAGGCAGGTCCATTCAAAACCGTCAGTTACATATTGAAAAGAAAACTGTACCACAGACTCACTGTCTGAAATTAGTTCCACTGCCAAATGGTAAACTGTTTATCACTAATAGTACTTGAGACCGATAAAGGTGGTGATTTATTTATTCATTCTAGCATGGCGTAATGTTCTATTGTGCTTTGGGCTGGAGATCTCACACCCATTGAGTATAGATCTCAGTTTGGGGGATTACAGTCTCTATCGGCTTCAAGACTCACCACCATGAAAACCATATTATTCAGGCTGCTTGAAATCACAGGTTATCCGTTGTGGTTTACAGTGAAAACAAACTGTTGAATCTTAACAGTTAACAGACATCCTGAAAATGCCTAAGTCTTCTAATTCTCGTCAGAACGGCACAGCCTCACTCAGTGTTCTGAGTTTGGATTAAAACGATCGGTGAGAGATATTTTTTAAAAAGAAGTAGTGTTTTCATTTTGTTGTTGTTTCAATCTGGTTAATGAAAACTTCGTGAATGATGTGTATGCATAACAACAACGGAAGTGAAAGGTTTCCCGTTCTTTTTGAACGTTTCTCTGTGAATGTAGTTCTTGTGTTTTTGTTCAAAGTAAATGACACGTGTTCAGTGAAACAGCTGCCTGAAGCGTAAAACAGTGGGAGATTTATAGAAGAAAAAATTGGCCAGGGATTTTGTTTTCCTGGAAAAAAAAGAAAACAGAGGAAATGAATTGCTTTCCCTTTGGCAAGAAGATTATACCTCAGAAACAAACTTAAACCATCATGAAAATATGTGCGCTTGAAAGAACAAAATGAATTCTTGACACATTTTTTTCTGTTCTGGCTTTGCATCCTGTGGCAAATGTGACAATTTGTTCAGCTACTTCAGTGGAAATGAGAGAAACGTGGAAATAAATTGCTTGTCGCATGTTTTTTTTGTAGTAATGGCAAAGAGTGTAGGGCAATCACAAATGCTGAATGGACTTTTGTAATGGAAAATCCTTGTTTCTGGGCTCTGAGCGTATGGACACTTGACTTGAGATTGTCATACAGAAATCTACAGCAAGGTTTAATTTCCTCCCTTCTCATCCTCACAGACGCACTTGTGTTGATTTGTGGTACTATACATCCGGGCATTTTATTTTGTGAAATTAAACACAGCATTGATGGAGACTTGGGGTTCCTGATACCCTCCCAAAAATGGGTACCCAAATTCCTTTGTAACCCTTTGTAAAATGACGATGTAATTTCTCATTCTTCTGTTGCTTGTAAAAATTAAAACAAGAGCTTCTGTGTCCAAAGAATACCTCCTAAAAGCTTTCGGATTATGTTTATTTAGTTGAGGTTTGTAGAGAAATCGTAGGGTTGTAAATCTGTTATGTCTTGCTTCTTTTAAGCATTTTGATAGAAATGACAGTTATACGGGCTCTCCACCACTTGGGTTGTAGGTGGCGCGGCCCAACAAATTCTGCTTCAGCACTCGGTTAATAGTGAATATTTCCTTAAATTGCCTAATTGTGTTGATCCTTTGATTTGTGATGGTTTTTTGTTTTTGTGTGTGATTTGTTTTGTGTGGGGAATTACTGCTTGGAGACAGACACAAGAAATTTGAAAGGAATGCTCGAGCACTGTTTACATTTATGTTGATGTTATTGAATGTATTAGGCCTACTGAAATCAAGTGAGGCCATGTTTAATTCCTCTGATTGAGGGTAATTAAATGGCTTCTTCATTACTGAGTTTAGATGAGATGCGACTTCTGATTGGCAGGATTTCAAAAAAAAAATTGAAAATGAAATCAGGCATAAAATGGAATCATACATGTGCATGTAACCTTTGTTCCCTTATAATTTGCATTTCATGTTGTGTCTTTGAATGCCGCACGCATAAATTGTTTTTATTATAATGAATTTTCTTTACATTCTGTATCTAAAGATGTTGTTTCACTTAATTCGTGCTTGGAAGGCAGAGATAGTTATGGTGTTGAGGGTCAGTTATCCTGTTTCGTCAATTGCTGGTTTAGTTTTCTCGGAACATTGTTTTAATGGAATGTAGACATTTAGAGAACGTCAGATTGTAGCAGGGGAAATAGACATTGGCCCCATTTTGGTTTGGAGCAGTGGAGTAACAAGTGCAGTATTCGTGGGAGGTACACAGACTAAAAGGATGGTAGTCCCAATGGACCCTTCCCACGAAATATGCAAATAAGGCAGGCACATGCGCATTACTACCACTTGTTGGCAAAGGTGCTTAAATCTATGACGTAACAATACAAATCTCTATATGTGCGCAACTATGAGCACATACACGCCATTTCCGTGCTGGTATAGTTTGACATGAGTGCCAAAGTTAAAGACAAGGAGTTGTTACTTTCCAGCCTCAAGACATTGAAAACTTCACTTAGTTGCGAGAAAAGCGTGCTGAAGTATCTGACAAAGGCTGTAATATGGTTTTGTTTGAACTTCAATGCTCCAGGTTATGGTTAGAGCAGGTCTCCTACACTGCCGACAGTGTTGACGGCCGCGCTTGCCAACCAGTGGTAGTAGTGCACATGCGCCTGTCTAATTTGCATATTTCAGGGGAAAGGTCCACTGTATTGTTGACCAAAGAAATTAAGGACCTCAACTTAATATGCAGTTCACTCTACTAATGACTATCACCTGTAATATCATGTTGCATTCTTTGCAAATTAAGCCTAGCTGTCTCTCTGTTTAGAAATTCTGAATTCTTTATAAGAATTTTAAACATTGCTTACTACACATGCATCTAAGCTAAGCTATCTGGCTCATGTGTTGAAAAGACGTCAATTGAAGTTGCACTGGTGTATGTATGTATGTCTGTATGTATATAAGCATGATATACAGGGTTTGCTCTGCATGTTAAGCAGGGATACATCGGTTGACAGCTCAATGCAGAACTGCAAGTGGGCCCGCAAATATTGTTTGGTTTTATGATTAATCAGTGTTTTGATTGATTGTTTCTTTTTGATACCCACTTTGTGAAAGTAAAAGCTTTCTTTCAGATTTTGAGAGCCAGAAACTTCTTCAACTAAAAACTCACAAAATGTGGGGCAAACATGCAAATAGTTTGTGTCTGATATGCACAGCTGGATGCCATCGATTTAACAGATGCTAACAGCAAAAAAAAATCCTGAACATGGACTGCTTGCTTTTAATATCCTTGATTAGTCCTCTCATAAACACTTTGGCAGAAAAGAAATCGGCCAAAAGAGAATGGTTAATCAATTGAAAAAGTAAATGAAAACTTGCAGGCTTGGCAACAAGGCAGTTGGTATTTTGTGAACTGGTTGTAAGTAGGCTGAGTGGCCAAGACCAGTTTTGAAGGCAAGATCTACCACGGATGTGGTGACATATAAGACGCCATCATGACTTTTATCCCACAACCAGTTGTCAAACGTGTGTGCCGTTAATTCTTTTTTTCCCCCGTTTGTTCAGAAACAACCAAGCGGTGTTAAAGATTTGTTGAGTTCTTGTAGAGTTACAGACGGATGAATGTATTAAAATAGTCACCGACTTAATCTACATTGTGTTGAATAGTGGTGCTTCTTGTCGCTTCACACTAAGCCCGACAAATCTGACTGATGCATTTCTTTGTTTCAATTCAAACGCAGGTCCAAAGTCTCTCTGCAGCAAGGTGTGGGGATGATTTGTTGAAGGTATTGAACCCCTCCAAGAGTGGGCTTACTCAAGCCCCAGTGTGCAAACGCTAGTGTACTGTACTGTACTGTATTGTACTAAAATGTTAATTGATTGGGCATTTCTGTATCAGAATCGAAGCTTAACAGGCAGATTTTATTTGCTCCCACTTATAGTGTAACTCCAAAAGCTGATTAAGGTGGCTCAAAGCTAGTAGCCAACATTCTAAATTACATATAAAATGTACGGAAAACAAAGACAGTTAGGAAGGAGCACTTTGATGACATGTAGTTTTATGTTGGCACTGAAGAGAAGTTCTGTTTGTTTCAGAGGTTGGCAGAGCAGAGAAAGTGGAATTCGAATTGATTGAAAATGTAAACAGTAGGCCTACTGCACATGTGCATTGCTGAACAGTACTTGCATGGTGAAACACCAACGGATCCCCCCCCCGAAAGTGGTGTCAAACTGTTGTTCATTGGGCATTTGTATTGTAACCACCTCTCTTCTTTTAAATCACAGACGCAGCATCAGAAGTTTTTTCCTCCTCAGCTGGGCTCAGGATTATTGTCCAAGGTTGTCTGGCTGTCTGTCAAGGATTAAAAAGGGGGAAAAAAGAACAGCACGGCTGAAGGTACCGGCCAGAAGGAATTAGCCGAGTTTAAGGAAGACCTGTTTTGAGCTCGCCTGACCCTGTGTCACTGTGGTGCTCTTCAGCCCAGGGCAGGGTAAAGTACACCCCCTAAACACATTACAGGCTTGCTTTTCCAAGCCAGTCGGTTGATTTTATGCATGGACAGTAGATGCTGGAACTGCTTTATCTTTGTTCTCGTTTTGCCTCCCCTCTCCTGTCAGAAGACAGGTTTTTACGCTTGTTCGTACTATTGTCAGAAGATAGACAGCTTTTCATTTGAATTGTGTTCGGCAAGTTTCAGGACCCCCCCCAAGAAAGTCACTCTGAAGATTTTTTAAAGACAAGCTTTTAATTTGGTCTCAAGCCAAAGATTTAAGAAAAAATTAAGATGAGCTTGGGTGCTGAAACAGCTTGTCAAAGTTTTCTTGCATGCATTTAGAATATTTTCTTATCAAGCGTTGAATATTATACAGTTCGAACTCTTCTTTTGAGAACAGTGACAAAAATCAGACACTTTGGTTTACAATAAAAAAAAGAATATTTTTTTTTTCAATTCTTTCAGGTAAACCTTATACATGTACAAGCACGGCAGAGTAACTGTTTCAGATGTAGCCTCCAGAGTTTTAATTTGGAAGGATATTTTGAAAATGTCCACACTGGGGGAAACTGTAGGGGCAGTTTTCCTGAGTGGGGAAAGGAGATCCAATTTGTCAGCATGTGGCCGGAATGGTGATATTGTTGGTAGTTCCTAATAGTGTTTAAGCTCAATTATGTCCCCCCATGGCAACTGTTCAATTATACACTCTCTTACACCCGTTACATCCTTGCAGACTGTTTCAAGGCGTGCGATAAAATGAAAAGAGAGAATTGCAAGAGTTTGGAGTTGGTTCTCCTCCACTTTCAGCTTGTTGGAGCCAGGTAGGCCACTTCTGTCGTACTATTGTGGTGATGATGTGACAGTGGGATGCTATACTGTCCTGGACTTGGGCGCAAGTTTCACGGATGAGCTAGAAAATTTGGAGCATTGGGCTCAGTTTTTGAAGTACCCTGCTCATCCCTCTCACAGGAAAGAAAATATCGACAAAGGCTGTGTAGATTTTGCAATTTGCCCTGTGTTGGACGTCTTGATGTAACGGTAAATAAGGTCTACTTGAGAGCCTAGATGAAGTTGCTGACAGGGCAGTGGGGTTTAACATGAAGGAATGAAAAAACTCTGGTGTATATTCTGAGTTGTGTTAAATTACAGGACAAAGCATGATAGATGTCGGTTTTTGAAGGCGCATTCCCCCACTCATCCCCAGTATTGTAGGATTTGTTTCGTTTAGTGCCCCAGACGTCCAAACCACCTTGTAATAATAATCCTTCCTGTTTGTATCCACCGTGGTGTAGCTAAACCTTGCCGAGCATGAAGATTTGCATTGACCATGGACACCTGTAGTTTTTGTTCCTCCAAATTCACGCATTTGTGTATGCCGGGACTCCCTAATGATTTATGCAGTTCTCGGAAGTTGTACAATGTACAGAGCAAACGAAAAGTGTTTTGCTGATAAAGCAACTGTTTGATTTCGGGTGGAATTCTGTGCCTCTGGGAATCCTTCCCCAACAGCTCGAATTTTTTATTTTTTTTTTGATTGCAGGGGCCGGGGGGGGGGGTGAAAAGGTGAAATTGAAGCAGACAACTTATGGATGTTTTGTTGGGTAGCCAATCTTGACAATAACGACGATTAACGCTGAAAACACCAGGAGGTTGAGAGCTGTATGTTATTTCATGCTTGGAGGCGCCACGGAAAAACTTCGTCCAGGTGTACAGATGCTGCTGTAGTCTGTAGCCTATAAATTCCATGTCACTACGTTCTGTCAATGATATTGCTTTTTCTACCCGTGTTCTTATCACTCCTGTACCTCTTGTTCCGAACCAAATTTGCTCCCCTGAGCGTTTGTGGCCAAGGCGGGGTCGGGCTTTTTTTTTTTTTGTAGGTAGGGGCAAAAGTTTGGGCATTTTTATGTAAGGTTTTGTTGTTTTTTTAGGAGTGAGGCTGAATTTTGAGGTTTTTGCTTGCTTGGGGAGGGAAGGGAAATAAAATTGTCCCCCACGGGACATCTCTCTCATTGTATTTGAAGTGCAAATCTACGGATATTATGACATTTGTGGTGAGGCACAGGCCTTGAGCATAATGATAGTACACACGATAAAATTCCCAGAAGGGCCGTGTATGGTTTTCTAATTTCTACATTACAATTTTTCTCTTTTAATGTCACCACAGCCACATTTATTGAATCGTTCCCAAACCGTGTATGTGCGTCCATGCGTCCATAATTGTGGGAAAAAAATATCAAAATAGTTATCAGGTGATAATTATCCTGCCTCTTACATCCATCAGTTAAAGCTAAAAGACAAAAGGCAAGCATTGTGAGACAAAAAAAAATTATATAAATAAAGACAGTGACTTTACAGATTGAATACGGGCGATTCACAAAAGAGTGCCTCCAAGAGTTTGCAACGCGTTGGCCAATTACAGTGCGCGAAATCTGTCGAGCCTTTCCAAACGCGCATTGGGTGGACAGATTTCGCGCATTGTGACTGGCCAATGCGTTGCAAGCTCTTGAGGCGCCCTCTTGTGAATCGCCAGTATTAAAATGTGTTTCTATCCACACAATATATACACGTACATCAAAATATATGAAACTCCGTAGAATTAGAACCGTTGGCTTTGATTCCTTACTCATCGCCAAAGTAATGACGTCCAAAAATGAATATCAGGACGTGCTTCAGCAATATTCGGTCTGTATGTAGTTGTATTGGATTGTCTCTCATGCTTGGCTTCATTTAAAATTTCTTTTCGCTAAGTCATGGTCTTTTGAAACGGAACGTGGATTATTGGTCCGCCCCGGAAATGCGGGTCTGTTCAGCTGTGGTTGGTACATTAAATCTACCAACCATAGCAGAACAGTTGGCCCCTGACAAGACACTAAATCGTACCCGATTTTAAAGTTTCCAGAAAAGTTTGTTTCCAGAAAGCCGGTGGTATAAAGGACTTCAGGAAAAGTTGTATAATCACTCTCAATCAGAACCAAGGAGGAAACAGCTTGTGGACTGGTTACAGATTCCGGCAATTTGGGGCAGTTAGGTTGACCTTACATCTATTTTTTCAAGATGGAAGAAGTTTTCCACTGAAGCATCGGTAATGTATGTCGAGAATATTACCGGGTCTTATGACGGTGCATAATAAATTCCATCATTTTAATGATGACCGTCAGTTCCCCTCATAACTACATAGAACTTTCAGAAAGTTCTTTCAATTTGTATATATATTTTTCTACATATAATTTACACTTGGATTTGACAGGGTAGCAATGCGGCATAGCTAGGAACCCTGTGTCTCTGGAAAACATTACCAAGAGCGTCCTTGGACCTAATAACGTGGCAGTATTATACAGTTCCGTCTTCGTGGTTTAGCTTGGCAGATGTACAAGTGTACGTAGAGCTCTGGCTTTGTCAATCTGCTGGCATACCAACGATGCTGTGACCATTTAATACGCTGCCGTACGCGTACTTGGGATCAACGTGCCCCCTTTCTCCAGGGTAGCACGGGCCGCCGTCTTTTCTCATCGGGTAGTAACCGCCATGGAGCTTGTACGTCCCGCTCAAGTCCCTACCGTTCGGCGGTGGGTAGCCGTAAAACACTTGGCTCCCCGCGGGCTCTGCCGGGTACGCCGGCTGATGACCGCCTGGAGCCAGGGGCGAGCCCCGCGGGCCCATCTCGTCGTAATGCGGGCTGGAGTTGGCGCTGCCGTTGCTGGACGAGGAGTTGCTGCTGCTGGACGGCACCGAGGGCGTGACGCCGTGTCCCCCCGGCCCCGCGCCGTCTGCCTGGCCTCGTCCCACCGGCATGCCGCGGCCTTTCCGGTTGCAGCAGTAGCACGCGACGAGGGAGACGGCGAGGAAGACGACAATGACCACTGCCACGGTGATGGCCAGTAAGGTGCCCATCCAACCCAGCCAGCCGTTGGAGGCAGTTGGACTTTCCGTTGGTTCCACTTGCGTTAAAATAAAAGAAGAAATAGACAGATGGCACATCAAGTATTTCGATAGTTCCGTGCCGTACACAACTATTCCGAGTACGAGCTGCAAGGGGCCTATTTTTTATCACGTGTTTTATTGTAAAATTATTGTAAAATGTCACTTCAGTAGTTCCGAAATGAGCAACACCAAGATTAGCCAAGCAAAAAGGACCTGCAGCACCTGTATTGAAAACAAGAATGGCTATGGCACATAAACTCTATGGCATCTCCATAACGGCTATAGCATCTGCAATTTGAGCTCATAAGTCACAGCGACGGCAGCTCTGTAACTAATTAAGACTTGCGTCGTCCGAGTCATTGTAAGACACCGAAGAGAAACCACAGGTTTCGACACGTGAAAAGGTTAACTTTAGTGTGAGACAGATTTCAATTCAGACTGCAACAAACTAAGGCTGCAAAGGTAACAGCATGGACAACGGAACTGTGATTTACATCCAGTGATATTTAACGCACAGGATTCTACCTGAGCAGAGCTGAAAACTCTCGTCGCTGCCGTCGGCACAGTTCCACAGCGAGTCACACGTCAGGCTGCTGTCAATGCACATAGAACCGCCCTCACAGTCGAAACAGTTGTCTTTCTCTGCCAAGAAAAAAGGAAAGAGCAGTCGCTTATTTTTATATTAAAGACATTGATGGACGACAACTGGGGTGAACAGGTCAAATTCACTCGATTGATGATGACTCCCCACCAGTGAAAAGGAGAAAAAATGCGCTGTACAAATTATCTTTCACCCTTTTGATGCAAATTGTTGCAATCAGCGTAGGAAACACTTTGACCCACATATTAAAGTGCATGTTAGTACCGGCGGACTCCCAACCCGCTTTACACCACCTTCCTCGTGCCCACAGGCCTAGAAACATTGCTATGAACCACGACGACTCCCTGGGGAGTATAAAAGCCATCAGTGTGACCATTAATTTGAAGCATCACTTGCCCACACTGACCATTTGCTGCTCTCGCAGTTACCCATTTAGGTTGTACATTTGGTTAGAGAGATGGGAACTTATAAATGTTAGAATGAATTGCCAACGGTCACAACGTACGCCCCATCACAGGATTCAAACCCAACCCTGCGATTGAGAGTTTACAAACCCTGACCACCAGGCCCCTCGTCCTGTTAGACAAGCCTCTCTCTGAATGTTTTCGCGCAGCCTCACTAACACAGTGAGACTCCAGAATGTCGGATCCCGGTGTATGTCTCTAAATATTTCAGTCTGTAGTACCTGAGACCCACGTCTGGCCTAATCCTTTAGTTTTATCCACTGGGGGTGGTTGTGAAGAAGGCGGTCCACAGACTCGAGAAGCCACCCCAGCCAGTAGTGCAGGAGGGTCGTTGAGTAGAGTTGATTTAGTCAGGAGTACATCGTATGCGCTCTCACAGTAATTGCATTTATCGGAATGCAACATCCGGGGTTCAAATTCGTTGCTCGTTAATTTCTTGGATGCCAGGTCTTTCGATGCACGTAGAGAGTGACAGGTCCCAGTTTCACCATTCGAATCCCATACAACACTCTCAGAAGTATCAGCAATGACCCAGTCCATAGAACAGCCCAAAGAGCAGAAGTACTCGGACTGTAAGGAGCGCGTGTGGCACCCGATTTTGTAATTGCTGAAAGCTAACACGAACAGACTCGACACTGCACTTTCGTTTCTTGCCATCTCCGCACGAAACGACAAAGAAGCACCCACCACCAGCTCGGCCCCAACTAGGAAAAAATGCGGCTGACAATTATCAGCCATTTATGAATGTGACGGCTGCAAGGAGACTCAGAGGGGTAGCCTTAAACTGTTGGCTACACGAGTCGAGAGCAGTGCGGCTGATGGTAATCATCGATTGTTACTGCTGAGCACGAGACAGTACCAACCTTCACAACAGCCAGTCACGTGCTATTTATGTATGCTAGTTCTTTGTCATTTGACTGTCTGCATCAAATTCTTCAAGGACGCACGTCCCTTAATCATTTTCAAAACAATTTCAAGTGCTTTTTAAAAATCAGCCGGTTCACATATACGAGAAATTACGTATCTACTTTGCCTCGCTGGGGTGGATACGTGAATTAATTTTTTTTTCTGTTTTCGGTATTTTTTTGGTGTTATTTTCTGGTGTTTTCCCCGTCAGCTTATTTTGCTCATAACAGGTAATGCTGAATCAGGTTAGTCATTAATCGTGGACGCCACACAATATCACTGTCACCTAGAACATAGAATATCGCTATTACACTCATGCACCAAATAATTGTGCCAATGTACATAATGCAGGTGCATATGGTACCCCATTTGCACTGCACATTATGTGTACTGGTTCGAATCCCATCACATGTGAATCACAGGCGTACATTAAACTCGTCTGTGCATGGCCTTGAAGCGGCAGAGTGACAGAAATGATCAGCATGGCTTCCATCATCAGCGCTGGCTGCCTTGAACACACCACTCAAATTCAGTGTAATTTCGATCCCCTACATGTGAGTTGTTCTAGAAGTTGCAAATTATTGTTGTCGGCGTTTGATATCCTGCAGGAGTGAGAGTTCATTCTTTGCCGTCTACCCAGTCGGGTGTCATGATAACTCTTCAAGTATTTTAACGGAAACATGACAAGGCTTCCAATTTTCATCGTCGGAAAAATAAGACAAATTACAGTGTTCCATTCCATAAAATCCAAACGCAGCTATATACTGGATCAACCTATCTCTTTTCCCCCCTAATCTACTTTAAATGAAAAAGACTTCAACTGCTGCATTTCAGCGCCCAATACAAGCACAGCGTACACATCCTGAATGCTCGATACCACAAAAAATCTGTACGCGCGTAGTCCCCCTATGTATCAACCTCGTCATCGGTCTTCCCTCTTGCGCTTCTCACACCTACCTACAAAAAAAACAATCCCTCCAGTGATCGAAGATGCAACACGTCTTGAGGATGTATGTAGAGGTACCGGGGAAAATCTCTCGGGACGCCAAGTGCACACCTCTTGTAATTCGAAGGTGGAGTTCCAGCTTGCAGCAATGTTTTATTTTGTGAACATCTGTATTCTCCCTTCAGATCGGTGAAGACGTTATTCTAGGCTGAGGTGCACAAACCTCGAGTCTCAACAGTCAAGGCAGGGATCCTGACATATGCTTCGCCGCAAAAAAAGTACGTTGTAATGTGGTGAGACGAGGCAAGACAGCATAATTCAGTACCACATCTATGTTGCTACGGTTTCTAGTATTGTATGGATTGTGGCTTGCTGCCAATTACGAACCCTATTTTTGTCGACAAGCACTCTCGCCATGCTGTCAAGCGTACATGTAGACTCCGTTATTTTCACGCGTGTTGGCCTCTTGTCAGTCAACCATGGCCGTGCGGCCCGTTCCCAGGTTCTGCTCAATTTACATTATTATGCAAGCCCCTGGTGAAGTTCGACATGCACGTAAGCCTACCAAATGTGATTCTAACTCCTACACTTGCCCGCGTGTGCCGAATCGGCAGCATGGTTACATGACGCAGGCCGTTTTTTTTGGGGGGGGGAGCTCCAGACTGCGGGCATTACCGGATGCATTTCATTGGGAATGGAGAAATAAAAATTGAGACCATTTTATTTGAAGCAGATGTTAGTTTGCTTTATGTATCATAAATAAACCTCTCCACCATCGTTAATTCCTTTTATTTTTCGCATCTGTATATGTTTTTGTTTCATTTCAGCTTATTTTGTTTGGTTTAATTTGTGTACATTCAAATTTTATTATTTCTCGACTCCAATGGGGAAAGGATAGGCAAGCAATCGTACGTGTATTTGCAGCTGACCAATCACATTCGGTTTTTTTTATCGTTGAGATTCATTCTTACACTACTGAATAATTGCCCTCCTGTTCCGCACCAAGCCACGCCTCCCCTTGTTTCCCTCTTGACCCACCTGTTCTGGTCTCCTCGGGTACAAAGGTGGTGTAGACCACGGAGAATCCCTTGTTGCTGGACAGCACGTTGTCCGTGATGAAGCGAACGGTCAGCTCGTTGCCCGTGGTGTCCAGTTCGCGGTAACGGGGAGGCAGATCCGTGCCGCACAGGCCGTAGGGGGCGCCGCTCAGCATCAGACTAGAGTAGTAACGCCCGTCGTACACGATCACCTGTCGGAATAGTGACGGAGACAGGCAAAAGTTGTACATTATTTCAAGGTTGTTCTATCCAGTGTATCTTTCACGAGTCTTTGATGGGAGGCTGCATGCCGCTACATATGTAAGCGAAAGACAAAACAGTGTAGGAAAATAGCTTGAGGAATTCCTCTTCACAAGTCTTTGCGCGTCGCCAATACTCAAAAAGATGGCGGTCCCTCTTTAACAGTCACTTGAGTACTCAAAACATGGTGGCCATGACGGATTGTCCTTTACCCTTGAAAATTGGTATTAACACGTGAAATCCTGAAGTCTCATACTACTTCAGATATACATTTATAAGACGCCTTTCCATATGTACGTCAGCACTTGCGCAAAGCGTTGCGTATCCGCCGAACGCAGTGCAGACGTGTGTTATGTTAATGGAAGCGATTTTTGTGTCCGTGAAAGCGAAACGCACGAACGCATCGCATACGCAACGTACCATAAAAATGTACAATTGGAAAGCCGCCTGTAGGCTTTAATGTGAAAAACATGTAAAATAGCCGTTTATGGCGAGCATTATTGTTTAAAGATGAGCCCAACACTCAATTTTCCAAGTCATTTGTGTTTTCCCGGTTACGTACGTGGTTATACCAAGGCCTACATGTGAAATGTACTGTCGCGATTATCGAAACATTGAGCACCCACTACGCCATTACATATGCGCGTCAACACTTGTGCCAAGTGTTGCGTATCCGTCAATTGCTCCCGGAGCGATTTTCACGGTCGGACTTTCATACGCAATGCACACGTGTGCTACCGTATGTTAATGGTGTCGATGTTTGCGTCCGTGAAAGTGAAACGCATGAACGTAGGCCTATCCTGTACGCAACGCCTCCAAAAAACGTACACGGAAAGGTGCCCTGATACGAAGTTTTTCTTGCGTTCCAATAATAACACTGGTAGAAAAAGTTATGGTCTGCCAGTGCCTGCACTGTTGGCCTAACCATCGACTGTGCAGTGTGATCGCCTGTCACCAAATACCTCATCCTGGTAGCAGTTGACCGACTCAGTCAAGTCGAAGCTCTCGAACACGGCGTGAATCCGTCTGCCCGGAGTGGTGGTTACGGTCACCTTGCAGTCGGTGTTGTCGGCGTATCGTCCGTGGCCGGCGTGCGAGAAGATCTTACCACCCCTGTGGTTCACGTACTGCCAACAGTCACCGTGTATGTCTTGCTGCACGAAAGCTGTAGGCGAGAATGACACGGAACAGAAGACAGACGAGGTTATTTATTTGGAAACTTTGTGCAACACGAGCGAAACATCACTCCGGAAGAAAAGCAATGATGTAGGATAGTCGATCCAAGCTCGTGTCTGTTATCGACATTAAAAGTATCAACGTGACAACATTGAACCTGCATTTGGAAATCAGAGTTCGAAGTACAGTGCTTCACGAGTCTGCTGAAACCGGACAATAAATATGAAAGTGAACATCGGCGACCGTACAGCACGTTTTTGTTGAATGGCAGACGCCAAGCTGTGTTTTCCCATTGCAGTATTTTATTCCCTAAACATCAATTTAAAACTACAACTTGCACGAATGGAAAAATACATGTATACACGCTCACAGATCTGTGATTGAGTATTGTGATTTAGTGTATTTTCTGAGTCGAATGATTTAAATTGTGTAGCCAGACACCATCCTGTAATCCTGTAAGGGACATAAATTTCCAGAGACGAGCAGGTGTCCCTTATTTTGCTAGCTAGCGGTGTCCCTTTTTAAAGTGTAGCTCTAAGCTGTAGTAAATTTTTGTGCAACTTTATCCTCGTCTTCAGTTTATGAAAACCTTTTCACACTCGTGTGTGGTTAATGCAATGAAAAGTGCTCATATTCTAAACACTTAAAATTATCCGTACTTTCTTGGACAACTGAGGGCGCTGTTGCTATGATTTCATCAAGGGAAGACTTGGTTCAGTGCATAGGTTTTTCTGTTAAATTGTGAACCCCAAATTTACCTACTGAAAATATTTCCGGGAAAGGGATTGCTTATTGCTATATACATAAGCAACAATGAATCAGCAAAGAAGACAATATTTAGTCCAACAAAATCTACAAAACAGGCAGAACAGTAATTTTTTTTGCAAACCATTTTAAGATTAGGCTTTTTTCCTGGGTCGGCATCACAGTTTTACTCATGGATTTGGAAATTCCCATCAAATAGTGAAACAAAAGTTGAAAATAACTGAAACACAAAGATGCATTTTGAAGGTTTGTATTAAAAGAAATTGATTTCAGCTACCCTTTATTAAGGTAAGGGATGACATATCCGACTGAAAAATCCTATTTTCGTTCGGTAATTTTCAGCTCACTAGGTAAACAGTTTGTCACCTTCCATTAAAAAGCCAACTGAGTTTGTATACATCGTACCTGCTTGTGCCTGGACATTATCGCGGCAAATTGGGATTCGGCGAATTTCCCGCTTCGTTTTGCGCTAAGACTTGGTGATGGATCTTCGCAGCGTGCATGAATTTCTCCTTGGTGTCTCCATAACTACTGCATGCGTCAGTGTATGTACAGACAGCGTGTGGCTCGTGTTGTCGCGCGTAAGATTCTCATCAAAATACGATGTTTTATGAATGATGAACATCCTCGGGGGGTTATTAGTTTGAAGTGTGTGCAGCCGTCCCGTCTGTTGCATGATCTAAAGGCGCCGTTTGTTTTACCAATAGACGGGGGCTTTTACCTGCAATGGTCTTCGTGCTGTTAAATTTAACTCACAAGTGTTTGATCACTTTGGCTTTAGTTCACGGTCGCATTTAGATAAATAGTGCAGCTCTCGAATTTGTTAAATTTAGTTCACGGTCGCATTTAGATAAATAGTGCAGCTCTCGAATTTGTTAAATTCTGTTAATAAAAGCTAAGATAAACGTAGAGATCTTGTCAAATTTAGACATTTCAAGAACAAGTAATCAGAACTTACGCATAAATATTTCCAAAGTGTAAGTTTAGGTATTGCATTTGTTACGGTGATATGATAATATTTACATAGCAAATTTGATATCCAGTTTCATATTGAGTTCCCCTCATTTGTCGCAGCTCCGTGTCATCAACTTTCAATACTGCTAAAAAGTTGTGTATGTCCAGTGATAAAATGGGAGCCGTGCCAAAAACAGGAGACACATCCTGGACCACCTCCTGTCTCCCAAGGATATTTTAAAACAGTCACCAGGCTGTCACTTTGAGCAGGACACTCGCAATCGGTTTTCCAGCGCCCGCGCAAACTGGGATCTCGCAACGGGTTACCCAGCACACTGAGCCACCCCGCCGGGCGGCCTGCCTGCCCTTTTGTGGGCTTCGCCCGTCGCAGAATAGGGGCCTTCTGGAAGTTGATGAGCGCTGACAGGGGAACAATCGAGGCAGATTGAGCACTCCAGACAAGGAGGTGATGATTTCGCTTGTCTTCATCTCTTCCCACTACCTTCTCTCCTGGACTGCTCCTTTTTGTCAGTGTCCTCGGCCATTTTTCCCCACCTTCCATTCTTCCGCCCCACCAGCTCCTTAATCAGTTAATAACTTGATTGACATTTGCGCTGTTTGGAGATCATAGACGAAAGTGGAGGAATGCCTTTTGGATTCATTTTTTTTTTCATCCATTTTGGGGTGGATGGTCTTTGTTCTGCTTGGTGACCAGTGATAAAAACGCAATTGTGATCGAGACGGCGATAGCTGAGAGGACTTTCGTTGCACATAGCCAGCATCACGCCCTTGTGTTACAGAGTAATGTTTGGTGTGTCCCCATGGATATCAGAGTCCCCTCTGGTGCCCCCGTTTGAAATCTTGAAGGACTTCCATGTACAAGCTGTAGTTTCTCAGCTTTCATCGCCCCTGGGGGGGGGGGAAAGGCGTGTATTCCCATATTTCCCCCAAAGGTTTCATTTTAGCGACGCCATTAGTGACAGTTTAAAAATAGGTTATACCAAAACCAGGCAAACTCATTCTTAACCTAAAGTCGGCCTGTGATTTTTTTTCTGATGTTACCAAAGTTTTCATTTGTTTGAGAATGATTTACGACATGCGCGAAGTTAAAAGTTTAACATAACTTAAACCTGCGCGGGTTTGCTGCAATTTTTTTTTGCAAGGGGTAATGGTTTCTGTTTTAGGGACGTCACATTTTGCAATTCTGAATGTACAACATGTCATTTGATTGCACTTTGAAAATACGAATGACGTTGTTTCCCGTCGAGCTAGCTGCAATTTGTCCTTGCCGCCAAGATGGGGTCCAGAGGTTATTGGCTCTTCTCAGCAGTAACTCATGAATTGCCCTTAGGCCCTTTGGGATGGTATATGAATAAACCTTCCATTATGTTGACTTGCTTCTGGGGTTTGCATTTTCAGTTTTGTAGTGTGTGTGTGTGGGGGGGGGGTAGTTTCTACACTCAGTCATGGACATTGCAAAAACAACTGGGGACAAATGGTCCTCCATTTTGGGGCCTAAATATTAAAACAATGCACAAATCCTACATTTATAGGAGCCCTTCGAAAAGAGTTTGAGCCCCCTGCCTCATAAAGCAGAAGATTGGGATGTTCACACATGGAGGTATTTACAGTTGTGTGTACGTGGGGGATATATTGCCTATACATTATGTATATGCATATGGAACTTCCATCGCATCGCCGGTAAACAATAAGTGTAAATCCTTTGTTATGGGGAAATGATAGGGTAACGTAGTTTGCTCGTTTCTTCCTTAAAGGAGAATAAGTTTTCTCATGTTATCTCTGCTCATTTCAGTAACAAGGCCGCGTGGATAGCGAGGAGAGAGAGCACCGAGGCAGCTTCCGTCGTGTTTTCCCACTCACGCTGGCCAATTCATCTTGACTGCGCGCAGGCTTTTTGTATGCCGCACACCGCCTCTGCCGGATTTTTCTTACATCATCTGTATTGTACTCGCTGTAATTGAGGTTCCAGCCTAATTGACTCGGACATCCAGGGATTAACTGATCCATGTCAACATAGCGGTGTACAATGCCTTCCACCCTCCTCGATCTCTTTTCATTGAGTTACCGCTATACCTGGTAGCACTGAGTTTCCTGCGTATAAGCCTAATTCACCCTTGGATCTCCCCAAGGGTATAAGTCATAATCGTTAGGGTAACTAAACCGTCATCCTGTTCCGAATGTACCAAGTTACAACTGCTTGGGTATATAGGCCTAATGTCTGGGTATATAGGCCTAATGTCGTTAGAATACGTTTGCCAAATATTGAGGGCCTTCGGTGTTTGACAGTTCTTATATCGACTGCCTGATTCATCAAACTTTTCTCGATGGAAATCATAATTGATAGACATAAAGCAAGGAGTTTGGTTTCGGGTTCGGCAAAGCTTCTTGTTAGTGTGTAAAGGGTGTGGTTTATAACATACTTATTATACTATAAGTATTTTAACATTATAGTAGTATATTTACTATTATGTAGTATAAGTATTATACAAGTATACACACATTTCGTTGCCTCACACCAGTCGCTAGCTATTGCTAGTGTTGTTTTGACAGTGGAAGCTTTTGGTAACGTTTGGTAACAAACAAGGGACCCTACCTTTAAAACTTAAGCTAGTTACTAGTTAACTGTGTCGCCCAGTTGTTTCAAGTGTTGGATAAGTCTTAATAGAGCTATGACAAGTTAAGAAAAAATATTGGAAACAATGTCCACAAAATGAAAATAAACCTTCCCGCAATTGGTACAGGACTACATTCCGAGTAAACTTGTGCAGAAATGTCGCATTCAAAAACCTCCTCATTTTCTTTACACTTCCATTTTTTTCTCAGATTTTATCGTGTGCAACAATCCATCCTGTGTTGATAATAACGATAAATAATTTATCAAGTGCCAATACAATATAACAGATTTTTTTCATGCAGCTGTAAAGATAAAACGACGTCGACGACTCGATTAAAAATAAATGCCAGTGAGTTTGTCTTACTTTTTCATGTCAATTTTCGTTTCGTTGAATTTTACAGAAAGTTGGATGTTACCCAAACTAAACTGCCAGTTTTTATAAAACATGAGTTTTCAATAATGGTCTCTGTACATTTCTGATTGTTGACTGTGTCACACACTACGTTGATAAGTCCTAGCTCATTATGTGCTTCGGGAATATTCTGAAGTTTGAGAGGCTGATCTTGGCTAAGGGCCGGGAAGACATTTTTCCCTATTCTTTAGTATATAGACTTTGTATAAAACTAGTTGAACAAGTAAATAATTGATTCATACAAAATATTCGGGGCCCATCTAAATAATGTTCACAAGGCCGGCACGGTGCAGTGTGTAATGCAATCGAACAAGAATTCTCTTATTGGCATTTCAACCTGCTGCCCTAACAAAGACGACAGCATTCCGTTTGAAGAAAAAAACTTGGCAGCTGAATACTGCCAGGTCCAATTTAGCAGGATCAACGGCGCTCCTGAAAATGGGAGCTGTCGTGGTAAGTCCTTGCTAATGAGCACCACGAGACGCCCCGTCCATTCACCAAGAAAAGAAGCTGAAGAAAAAAATGAGGGGCGCTGTACGAGAGGAGAAAACCACACAAGGTGATGGTATGTACTCACTGGTATTGTAGGCCGACGCACCGGGTAGTAGCACCGTGCCAAGAAGTAAGAGTACCAAGCACCGGTTGATGAACTCCCGGGAGATGTTGATCAGGTTCTCGGGGAGCGCGGTGGAGTGCATCCTAGTCACCATCGCTGCCGACTGTCCGCATCCAGCCATCCGGGTCGCGTCATATCCTCGGCGGAACTGGGCTGATAGGATCGCTGCAACGGGTTTATGACAAGAGGAGAGCCGGTCGCCGCGTTATTCATGGTTTCCCCCGTGATGTGACGAAGGCTGACTCGACCCTCTCCGTACCGCTCGCTGCTTGGTGTCTTTGCTCGGGCCATGCTTCACGCTGGGCCGAGGTTACGCGTAAAGAGGCTCCTCGCATTGTTGCGACTCAAGCTGCACAGTACAATAAGCGTTCATCAGTGACAGGTGCGAGTGAGAGCATCAGTCACACTCCCTCCGGACCCTGTTGACCATTGGACTTTGATTGGCCAAATCGTCTGGTTATTGCTTGTGGCGCTCTGGAAATGTTTAGCTAATGAAATTTGGCAGTCATGACGGCTGAAGCCGTACTTCACTGGAAAGTGCCAGAAAGAACAGTCACTAATGAAGCCCTTAAGACCAAAGAATCATTCACATTGAATCCGCAGAAGAGGAAAGAATTATTTCTTGGTTTTAATGTTTTTTTTGTGATACGTCTTTAAGAAATGATTATGTGCAGTGCTTTTCTTAACTTTAATCTGTGCAACTTTCCACTGCAGAATTCTATTCTTGCCGTGGGCTCGGAGTGTCGAGCCAGAGATAACCGCTTTTGATTTGACAGTCAGTCTTTTCTCCAACTAGAGGCCTTTGAAGTTTCAAAGACTTTTCGCTAGAGAGAGAAAGTGCTCTGTGAAAATGAATTTTAAGTCGCCAGAGCCACTTTTTGAGTTTTCATTTGTACTAGAAAGAGCAAATTGAGTTTTTCGTTTTGATGTATCACTCAGTTTGGCATCCTGATGAAAGTGGATACTCCATGGTGACAAATGCTGTGGGTTCCTGTTGATTTACACTGTGCAGAATTATTCTAAAACACTTTTTACTCCAAAGTGGCTCTGGCGACTTAAGACTCATTTTCGCAGAGTGGGTCACTAATAAGGCGAGGATATATTTCTTATCTGTGAAGCCTGTACAAATCGAGATGTTAACCACCAGCATCCTCTGCAAATTTGTCTGGGTTTTCAGAGGGGGTTGGTTCAACGTCCGCACTGCCCCTCCTCCCCCGTCGATCCATGCCTCCACAGGAGCGCTGCAGCGCTCGATCCCGCGCCATTTGCAAGAGAATGGACGGAATAACGGTCGCAGCGGGTCGCCACCGAAAGCCAAGGCGAGGCAAAACATGGCTGGGCTCTGCGGGCGATCTCCACTTAATGAAACCCCTTACCCCGGGAGGATTATGGATCCCTTCTGCTGCTGTGTTGGGTCTTCTGGTTGGAGCCTAGAGATGCGATGTGGCATGTGACCCGAAACTGCTTAACACGTCCAATCAGATCAGAAATTGTGCAGATCGATGTATTCTTCCGAAGTGAGCATATTCTTAAGCTGTGCTCCTATTGTTTTTAAGTGTCCCCTCTCGGGTACAATTCATAGATTTCTCGCCAAAGCAAAACGTAAAACCCGTACATTTCACTCACAGGAGACACTTTCTTCTCGAACCCAAAACTAACTTTAAAAATTACCAAGGTAACAAATATGAATTAACCTCAAAGAAGTAATATTACAGAATTCAAACCAAAAGGTAGAAATTGAATCCCTAAACATGTATGCTCTGAAACAAAATTTCATTGAATTTCATTAAACGTAATTTTTCATAATAATTGAACCGACAAAGCAACGCGGCAAAGAAAAGACGAATTACTGGCCACATCCATAGTACATCTGAATGGTAAGAAAACCAGAAACATGGAGGCGTTAAAAATTCATTGTTTTGGGGATTCTAGGTTGATTATTATTTTTCAACTTTGTAAATAATAGTACTTTGGTAAGGTTTGCATCACTGTTGATCTATAAATACATTACAAGCATTTTATTCCTTTTTATGTTATTGTCTAGGAAATGTCATCTCAATGATGCAGATTTATTGGTAAACGGTAACCAGGCATACGAAGAAGTTGATATTTTTACTTCTTGGATAAAGAAATGGCTGGAACCGTTCAATATGATTCACACGTAATGGATCCTTCGTTGCCTCGTACCTAGTCATCGTGTAGCGCCGGTTTCACCCAAAAGTGATAAGGCGCCAGCGAAGTCCTTCACGAACGTGAAAATTAGACAGATATGAATGCAGTATAAATGATTTTGTTTAGAATCGGTGTTATACATGCTACAAAAATGCATGAGTCACTGAGGCATCAGAGGACGATATGCTGCCAAATATGAAAAGTGGACAAATAATGGCATTTTCTTGTCTTCTCCTAATGCATGCAGACCGAAACAAAGTGAGATTTGAAATTTTGAATCGCTCTATTGAAAGTTTGACTCGATGTCCACCACTGACTGTATTTATTCACACACGACAAGCTCTCTGTCCCGACGTGTTACTGAGCTTAAAGGAAACATGCAGTGGGTATTCAGCTCAACTTGCTTTCAAGCATATTACTTTTTGTTACAATACAAATAAGATCTAGATATTCGTTTACATTGGGAGTGAAAAGAAGGTAGTAATTTCTCAATTCTTATAAAACACTTTCACCAACGTATGCACGAGGGCGCTATTTTGATGTTGTCACACAAGGCACTCCTTGTCAAAAGAACACATTACCGTAACAGTACAAAAATCCGTTCTTCAAAATCACCCTCCAGCAATGTTTTGAAGAAATATTGGTTACTGCTTTTGTCCAAATAAGCTGTTTTGTCTTGAAAACCAAGCATGAAGTGGAACCTACTCCGAGAAAATGTAGGATAGTATGATGTATGGGTAGGGACGCTTAAATGACCATCCGTGTTACCGCGTTGCTCAGTAACATCGTCGGAACAGAGAAACCTACACTGGATAACACTGGGTTCAAAGATCAACTATCCCCGAAACGCGGGATTATGATAACGCTCTGTGGGAACACTTATATCTCTGTAATGCAGAATTCAAAGAAAAGTTCTTGGAAACACGGAATTCAACGGTAATATATCTTCCAAACTCGGAATTCAATGATATACATATGTATCTTCGACACACAGAAATTATGTATATCGGAAATCTAGAGTTCATTTTTGAGCACTGGTACTTGGCGCGTAGCCTTTGCACGCTTAGATCTACTACTGTCTATCTTGCTTCCATCACGATCGTTTCACATGAGCTGACTCTGAATCCACGGCAAGAAATACTTCGTCTCCAAAACTGCGGGTAATGAATTTCTAGTTTCTCTGTTTCGACGATAAATTAACCCAGTAACACGCTAACATGGACGCATGTTCATTTAAGCTTCCGTACAAAGGCCTAATGTACACAAGCTATGGAGAGGCTCCTGTTCTGTCTTGAATGACGTCACGCTTGGAACACGGGAAGGGAAATCTTCATTAGCATGAAATCCAAAATGTTGAAATTTCTCACTTCGCTGTTCCAAAGTTAGTGGAATGTCATCATAACATGCTGGTAAAACTGTGCTATAAGTGTATTCAATTCATAAAATTACAAACACGCGGTTCCTTTATTGTAATTTCCCTGTCAACTACACTATTCGGTTCGATGAGGACTGCCATCCAATGTCAATGTAAGTTCGTCAGATTGCACTCTATGACACTGTCGAAAATAAGTGAGTGAATGAGACCATGGAGATACCTCCATAATGAGACTGACTGACTTCTCTTGAAAGATGAGTACTGTTGTGTTTTCTCTACGTGATTGATCCAGATTGATCCAGATTGACAGGCGGTTGAATGATATACCTATTACCTTAATAGGATGCCCGCCCGGTCATTCACCGCTGAATGCCAATGGCATGTCATTAAACCAGCTCCGACAGGAAGAGTAAACTCGCGCAAGTCTACCATGAGCAGACGCGGGCCTCAGCGTTTGTTTGGGGACCGAAATCTGCCCGTGTGTATCACCGGGAGAATGAGACGTTGCAGCATCGTAGTGCGGGTAATTGGTTGAAAAATGGGTAGTGTTCTCTGTGCACCATGCCCGAAGAACGGGAAGGTTTTGATTTGAAATTTTCACGTTGGAAACGGGATGCGTCACGGTCAAGGGTTGAACCTGTCCTCAGGATAGTAAACCTATTACCGTCGGAGGACTAGATTCAGCCACTGGTCGAATATAAAGACACATCTGCCATTTACAGCATTTCAGCTGTGTTCTCTGTTTAACTGGGTCTTCGTTATGGTGCTCGTCCTCCAAGCTGAGCTCAGCGGGCGCCCATTTCTTCTACTTTCGAATCTTAACGATGAAGTATTATAAATTACGATCCTGTGTGTTTATCATTTTGAGGTGTTGTATGCAGGTGGTACATGGCAGCGCGTTGAGGCTTGTGAACGTGAGGCGTAGGGGTCATCCATCGCAGTATTTAAGACGTGGTTTTAAATTAATAAAGTTTTTGACAACCGCTTTTGATAAGGTTTGAGAAATGTACCGCTATTCCAAATCTAAACTTTGGAAATCCTCAGTCAGGGTTTTAAAATGGCTTTAAATGGCCTGAAGATCAGGCTTTCAAAGTTAAATATTAGCGAGTCTTTTTTCTTTCTTTTTGGTTAATAAGAACTAGTAATGCTGTTAACTGTCTTTGTCGTCACCTCGAAGAAGAATTGGAAACAACTCACTTGGTCACCAGTTCAGGAAAGACTAGACCAAGTCTCTTTTAACTGTTGCATCTTCTTCACAAACATTTTGGTATCCTCTCCGGCGATCCGGCCAGACTACCTTGGGCCACATTCCTCGAGTTCTGTTTCCGCCTCACCTCACCCCTCGTCAAGAGGCCTCACCTCGGCTCTCTGCACGCCTCCAGCAGGACCAATAATGACAAGGATTAGCACGCTTTGGGGGCCTATAGTCCCAATCCTCTCCGATCTCCGGCACAACAGGGGTAGGTTTCCCAGCGGGGCTCCTCACGCAGCGAGCGTCCACAGGGCGTGTCCGGGACTCTCCCCGGTACCTGTGTTGCTCGGCCCGCTCCCTGTTTAGTTGGACCATAGAGCTACAACCCATTGTAGCTCTATGGTTGGACAGTGCAGCGGCGAGCACTCTTTCACTTAAGTGCATTGTTCCTTCACAGACTTCAAATCTTCCGATATTGTATCAGGTCACAGAACAAGAAACCTGCGCTGTCATCAGGTGAACGTCCTTTAAAAGTTAAAATGAAAATCCGGAAATGGTACCGGTATATATATTTCTGTTTAGCATTGCGTCTTCTTTTTACCATTCACAATTCAGGTTTTTGAGTCGGGGTGAGAGAATGAGGATTTGTTTGGGAAACAAAATTAATGTCCAAAGTTTTCACCCAAGGAAGGTGCTTATTTTAGGCCCGTAGGCCTACCGGTTCTTAAAATGTTGCCCTTTCTTAAAAATGGCGCCGTGTCTCCCCCCCCCCAGTTACCCTTGCCTCTCAATGAATATGCCACAGGTCATTGGCACTTTTACTAGTCATACGCATTCATACACAGGAAATACACGGAGTTCGTATTAAAACTAAATGGGACACTTCGGTTATTTTACATAAAACGGTATGGGTCATGCAGTCCCGTTGACTCTAACTCAAGGATTTTAACTATAACAAAACTGCGGTCAAAGCGTGTATTCATGGTGTAGGTAATGTTTGCTCCTTTTATCAAAATCCGAACGTGATTCTCAGAGATGCACGTTTATCAAGGTAAGATGCTTCATCGAAGAATGTCAGCATCCTTAGAACAAACTCAAAGCAAAAAAATGATCTCATTTGGCGACATAACCTTGGGCGATTAAAATCTCGCTGTCATTGTAACAAATCCTTTAGTTACCATCCAAACCGATGAATGTGGCAATTAATGTGCGATCGAATAGATGAAACCGAACTTTTCTCTAGGCCAGAGGGTGGTGGCGACCCGGCCAGTCAAAACACCAAAGCAACGACGTGATGTGACAGCTCAAGCCGAATTTGTCAATTGCGGAAGCGCGCAAGTGCTGACCTGGCCCGGAAACCCAAGATGAAACAGATGAAAGTGCACAGCACCCATGCGGGTATTTCCAGCACAGGGGGTAATCCAGACACTAGAACAATCGCCGCAGGATTATTCTAACGGAGCGAGAGAACCTGTCACATGCCTCTCAAAGGATCATGGCCGGGACACATTTGTGGCTGATCCAGGGGAGACTCTTACAGGTACACACGGAGCAAGATTGTGAGACGGTAATCGAGCGGAAAGTGACTGACGGCTCGGTTGATGGGAAACGTCAATATTTCAAGGCGCATGCTGGGCGGGGGGGGGGTTCGCACTGTCTGGCCCGTTAGTTTCATTGTCTTCATGAGAACACAAGTTACAGCCATACGAAGGGGCATCGCTGGAATGAGTCGCAAATATATAGCCCGGACACAATTCTGTTTGAAGCCGGAAATTAAGAATAACAAAATGGTGAAATGTGGAATTTTCTCGATGCTCGATGGCTTCTCAGTAAACGAGGGAATCTTGAGTTTTCTACTACACGCTCAATCCCTCGAAAGAAACAGCCCTGATATAACGCTGTATTTAGATGGCCTTTACTCGGAGTACCAATGTTCTCAAGAATCTTCAGCAGGGTATTTCTGATGGGGTTTTCAAGTAGGCAAAATCCACCAAGACGAAGGCGTAAAATCAGGAAATTTGTCGTTCATTTGTTCGGCTTTACCAGGTGCGGATCCAGGAATTTTTCCGCGGGAGGGGTCAGGCCCGTCTGATTTTGTAATGTCCGATTTCTGTGGACAGGTGAACACCTAGTATGGCATCTTTTTATTATTATTTCATTTCATTAAAAAAAAAACAATGTATTGGGATTTTTTGGGTGTCGGGCCGCGGGTAGAGTATCCCTCTGGATCCGCGCCAGCTTAATGACGGTCACATTCCCAACTCATTACTTTTTATACCCATGTCAAAATAAGGAGTCTTATGAGATGGTTTATAACTTACGGACGTACTATAATCGAAGAAGTTGTTAAAATGGCATTTTGTTCAAATAGATTTCTGTTACCTGGAAAAGGCTTTTAACTTGAACTTCAGTGTCCGATGTTTCTGAACGAGTCTATTTCTGCATGAACAAAACAAAGTGTCACTAATATCATCAAATTCCGTTATAGAAATGAACACGGATTGAGATTAGGTGGAAACCCGACGAACTAAATTACATTCGAATCTCCGCTGTAATGTTTTCATCAGCGGTACTCAAAGGCCCGACATCAGCAGGTCACAGCTATCGTTGAAAGGCTCCGATCACAATTCCGTCGAGTCCACTTCGTGCACCACATTGTTCCAGCCAGCAACCACTTAATAAGCTGAGAAAATCCTTTCGTTTTGCTGTACTGACACCAATCGTGACAAGGGTCATTCATCGTGCGCACTGCACCCCCATTAATTATATTACCGAGACGTCCGTTCTACGCTGTCGTAAGCTGTGATTGGATTACGAAGTTAATGAAAATGCTGATGTTATGGGGACTAATTAGTCATAAGACCGAGCAATCTGTCGAGCTGCTGTCTGCCACATTGGAAACGCTGAGTCATCACTGTAATTAATCAAAGTCCAATTATCAAACACAATTAACAGTGCACACTTCTCGTATTACGAGGCATACCCGCATTAATAACGGACTGTTTCGACTTCGGTTTTAATATTTTAGGCAGAATACATTTCTGTTTCCGACAGACCTAACAAGACTAGAGTACACAAACGTTTCGATTCACATTTTGTCACGAAGCATCGATTTTTTTTTAATTGTGGAAAGGTTGACAAAATTATCCCCAATGTAACGCTTGGCAGCTTTAAATTGAATAAACTTGATAACAAAACGCTGAACCCCATTTCTGCTCGCTTGAATAATAAGTGATTTTGAGCCAGTGCTATATAATTATTTTAGTCGGGCTCTAGACAATCACACGGCCCATCAGAAGCAAGATAATTCTCCAGTGAAAGGGGATATGAAAGAATGCCTTCCCCATGATCATTTGAATGCCCTGTGACCTTGTGTTTGGCCGTGTCCTAAACGGGCTTCCAGAGCTACGGCTAGGTCTGTTGTCTATGCGTCTCCACGCATTTAGGAGAGAAGACCTAGCCCTAGACAACAGATTCGGATGCAGCCTTAGAATGACTCGCAGTGACTCGAAAACAATCCCTGAACCCTGGAAAATATACCTTTGTATTGTTCATGTTGCTATTTTTAAAGGTAATGTGGTGCGTTTTGAATTTCATACTAATGCAGTTTTCATATTCACGAGTAAACCTGTGAGTTCTCCTAAAGGAAATGCGTCCATGTTGCACTGACATGGAATTCTTCTTTTTCTATACTAACCCCTTTTCTTAGGCGATTCATTGTTATTTAAATGCAGTGTAGTAAGCCAACAAGCAAGCCTTTCTCAGGAATTCGTACATTGTGAGCAAATTTCGGGGTCACAATTTGGACATAAAGACCTATAAACTGAGCAGCGCCTCCACTGACCCCTCCTTCCTCCATGCACTGACTGACATCGCAGTATGGAGTTTTAAATGAGTAATTAAACAAGTGGAGTTTGCAATCTGCTCCGAGTAGAAGTGCACCCTCACCGGCAAAAAAGAGACAACCTGTTGAGTTTTTTAACTGGGCTGATGAACCTGAGTGTGCACATGATAAATTTCCACCCCCAAACCCACTGCTGTTATCTAAAAAGCACGCCCTCGCCCACTTCCGCTTTGAGCAGATACAATCAACCCACGGGATACCAAATTAAAGTTACATGAGTACGAAGTTGCAAAACGAATCGATTTCGTCAAAGAAAACCCCATCTTTTGGCTCTTTAAAAAGGTTTTAGCTTCCCACTCCACTGTTTAAAAGCTGACTTCATTCTTATCTATCCAAAATTTCACAGAAGCCAAACACGTCATAGAAAGGACTAATAGGACACGTGGACCATAAATATCACTTCCAACAGCAAGAAACTATTGTATTTGGAAAAGCTTTCAGATACAAACTGAACAGCACTTCAATTGTGGTACTTCATTTGTTTTCAAGAAAATACCGTAGAATATACTTCAAAACTATTTACAGAGAATAAAAAAAAATTTGAGACTTGAAGAACTGGAATGTTCATCAGCTTACAACTTGGTAATGCGGACGGAAAAGGACGGATAGTGTTTTTTTGTGTAAATTAATCACATATCTACAGTGTAAAACTTTATCTGTTTTTCACAAGACATAAAAAAACGTACAAGAAAAAGATGTCCATTACAGTTGAAAACAGTAACACTGAAATTTTGAGGAAATTATCCCTTCTGGTCTGACAAAGATACACATTTCCACTTTTAAAAATGGCGTGAGATTAAACAGGAGTTCAATATGAATTCTGGCCATTCCACAGAATGTCTCACAATAACAACTCTGTAAACTATATTGTATGCTGGACGATGTACTTCTTCATATTTTGTCCAATGGCTGCTTTCTTTTTCAATAAAGATGATGCCTGAAAAAAAACTGATTTCAAACTGCTCTTATTTAAAACAGAACGTAAGCTTTGAAGAAAACCGGTGGTGACATGTTTTTGAAGAGTTAGTGTCATCAAAGAATGCATTTATTACCTTCATTGCAGAATCTTTGCTGCATTACACCTTTCTAAAATATCTTGCAACAATAGAATCAGAGGTTCTATACCAGCAGTGAGACTAAAAATGAACAAACCTGACCCAACCCCAACCCAAGCCAACCCAACTCAACCCAAGCCAACCCAACCCAACTCAATCCAAACCAGACTCAATTCAACCCAACCCCAATCCAAACCCAACCCAACCCAATCCAACCCAATCCAACCCAACCCAACCC